TGACATAATATATTTACTAGTGCTCAATGCACACCCGTTGTATGCGCAATCAAAAAATACATAATATGTTTGGTCATGTATTTTAAACAAAATTTTTATTACTTAAGCAAACTTTAATCTTTTAAATATTTTTCATAAAATAATTTTATATTGGTAGTTATAATGTTTAGGGGTAATTATGTTGAAAATATTTAGTTAAATAGTTAAAAGTAAAAATAGTCATAAGTAATTATAGATAGTTAAAGTAAAAAATAGTTTTATAGGGGGGGGGAAAGAAAATTCATAAAGTCATGGTAAATGTTAATCCCAATGTTAATTTCAAATCCCTTTCTCGGCTTTTTATATAGTATAGGTACTCTATATAAAGAAAAAAAACTTTAGACTTTGTATAAACAAATTTTTGTTAATTCTTAATTTTTTACTTTTATCATTACAAAAATTAAATTTTGCCTCCACAACAATCAAATTGTTATCTAAACACCAAAGCACACATTGCCAATATAATTACCCATAAACATTGTAACTACTAACATAACTATAGTTTTAAAGGAAAGAAATCTTTAAAAAATCATATATTCACGTAACAATGAAAATTTTATGTAAAATAAATTCATACAAAACTATTTTAATTTAAATCGCAAACATACTAAGGCTCTGCTTGGATTGCATTTTCCATCCGAAAATGCTATTTTCTGCAGAATGGGTCCCACAAATTTTCAACGGAAAGCATCCAACATTTTTCACAGCGTCGGAAATTACCCACCAAAAAACACTTGAACGTTACTACTGTAGCAGACAAGACATATAACTGTGAAAGCCTCACTTTATTTCCTTTCTGCTAAACGGTCAGGAATATTGCAACATCACCCATTTGGCTTAACTTTTGAATCAAAAGATAGCCTTTGAACCGTATTGCTTCTCTGCATCTAATTACTTTCCTCTTTGGAGATCTTGGCATCATTCACATCCCAAGATTTGCCTATCCAAATGCATCAGACTAGCAACCATTAAGCTTGGTCGGCTGTAGATTGTGCCGGGTGGAGCGTACTGAGATTCTCGTGCGCTTGCTGCTATTGCTCATCAAACGTTGCTACGTGACGGCGGTGGCTCAAGGCTGTTTCTGCGGCGGAGATACTACATACTAGGTAGGTAGCCCTTTTACTTCCATTAGATCGAAAACCTTCATTGTTGCTGAAGAGAATTACAACATTGCTGCACAAAGTGCATTCAGTAATTGTGAAAACTGAATGGGGGTGTAATTTGGGGTTAGGTGTACGGAACCACCGAAATTGAAGGTCATGCTTACCTTGGTTGTTTGGCTGCAAAAATTGACGATCCGTTTAACCAATGCAATGAGATGAGATCTTTGTATTTGTGGGTAATTTGGAGTGCACATTGTACTGAATGCACCTACATTTATGCTATTTCCCTATTGGTTCGTGAAACAAAGCTCCCCACCCTGCTTAATCCCCCATAATTTTTGGTTAGTTTGTCGATTGGCTTGGGTGTACATATCAAACTGTGGGAGGGAAATTTGCTGGTTTGCTCTGTAGTAGCGCACGATAAAACTGAACCTATGTTTTGTTGTGGCCATGGGCTCTGACATACGAGTACCCCTTACGCGAGTGTGGTTACGGGTTGCAATTTTGTCTATGCTTTTCAGTACGAATCTTTTTGTTACAAAACACAGATATGAAGCTTGATACGTAGAGTAGATTTGATGCCTTTGTTTGCCATACTCTTGCTTCTGAACACTCCAATTAATGAGGTAAATCATGTTTTGTGTATTATGTGTGCCATGGATGTCCATTATTACTATCAATGCTTGTTAGCAAGTGTAAAGTAATACAACATTTTCATATCCTGAAATGTTAAAAAAAAATTAGCAGGTTTGAACTGTGGATTCCGTTAGTGGATCCAGTTTAAGGTATTTTACAAAGTTTTTGGTTTATTTATCCAAACCACTGTGTAATGCATATCGAAACAGGCCAGATGGTTGGTTAATACTACCAATGACGTCTTTTGTTTGATGCCTTTCGGCAACAGAAAACTTTTTTGCAACATCCTTGTTTTGGTTGCATTCCTTCCAGGCATTGGCATACCCTCTGATCTGTGCTGCATCTATTTCGATCGCCTGCACAACGTTTGATGTCTTCGAGTCCCCATAAAATAAAAGGTGAAATACTTACGTTTGCCTTGTATTCATTGGATGGGATAATTAGTTTGCTTGTATATAAGTCACTGCTTTGGGTCATATTTACACGTACTTAGCCTTATTTTTCCTAACAGTACCACCTATAATTTAGGAACCTCCCCTACGCCGTGTTCTAGTACGAGCATTTCTTGTCAATCAGAGAGTGGATCAAACGATCTTGACGGGTGCTTGAAGTACTATCACAATCGTACTTTAGTGCAGGTGTTTTAAAGACTGCCCTATTTGATTTGATTGATTTTTTAATGCCTTTGCATATTGCCACTAATGGTCGACTGATTCAGCTGTATTTGGAAATTACGTGTTAGATGGCCCGAGGCAAGACTAATGATAGTGGGGGTTCTAGTGCCATTGCCAAGTGAGAATACGAAATAGAGTGCTATTATGTTCAGTTGTTGCAGGAACACAAGGAAGTTGGCAACTTGTCCAAAAATAACATAAATGCCTGTGTGTTTGAGGATGTCCGGAATAGACTGAACATGAGATTTTGCCATAAGTCATACGACTGTGACCAAGTCAAAAGAAAGTACTACAGTTTCATGAGGGTTGCACGGCTATTCAAGGAAGTTGGTAACCAAACTGGCGTAGGGTGGAATGAAACATTAAAGTGCTTCTCTGCACCAGATTATGTTTGGAGATACTATGGCCAAGTTAGGGACTTGCACTTAGTCAATCCATTTTATCAAATTGGGCAATTCATCGTCTATGTCCTGTCCAAAAGTGTCTTAATTTGATTAATTACCATTTACGCCTAAGTTTCCACTTATATTTTGTTTAGGACAAAGATATAAGTCTTATCAAGAATCGGCCCAGCGACCATTACTGGAATTTGGTTGAACTTTTTGAAGATATTGGCGCCCTAGGAACTTACGGCCAGTCTTCCAATGACCCACCTGTAACTGGGGAAGAGGTCCAATCAAGGCAAATGAACTATGGTAGAAATGTCGGTGACTGCACAATAGGTACTGAGAGGTCTACGCCAGGGTTGGAAATTCCAATTGATGTAGACGCTGAGAACTGCGATGCAGTCTCTGACGAGGAGCCACAACGCCGGGGTGGCAAGAAGGGGAAGCAGAAGAATAGTCGAGGTACATCTTCTGTGCAAGAGGGTTCAAGGTCTTTGTCTGACAAGAGAAAGCGTGATGAAATATATGATCGTGCTTACGAGGAGTTTGGCCTTGTAGCTAAGGCAAAGCGTGAATACTACTCCAGTAAGTCTGGATCATATAATTCTCCTGACCCCAATTCTCAGGACTCCGCTGCCAACTGTGTTAAAGAAGTGGACAAATTAAAAACCTTCATTCTTGAAGGCCAGGCCAATAAGGCATACGGTTTCTTTAAGGAAGATGTATGGAGGCAGATGTTTATAGCAATGTCCCCTGATCAGAGGATTTCATGGATTAATAGCTTGTAACGTGATCTTTGAAATCATGTTATTCTCCAGACGGAACCAGTTTGGCATTGTACTTGAGAGCACTTGGTCTAGTTTTTAAATAGTCTGTTGTACGCTTATGTAGAACTGTCCCACGTACTAATTGGTGGTTTAGTCCAAACTTAGATGTTGTCCGAAGTTATTGTTCATTGCTTTGTATGTCAAAACAAAAGTTTTAGAATTGGCAATGAAAGAAACAGAAGGATGGTATCTTGTGGTTAACTTAATGGCATGACATGTTACACAATAAATACTTCTATTACTAATGCGCAGCTGGCCTAATGAACTGGAGATGTAATGAATTTTTTCTTTTTTTTGGAGTTGAAAGTCCTTTCAACATTGTAACCAGAATATTATACAACAGTAGGACTTCCAAGAATATCTCTTCTTCTGGTTTTAAAAAAATCAGATAACTTCTACCTCTCTTGCCTCTAGCTCTCTTGGCACCGGTACTTTATGCTGTTAAATCACCCAAAACTTTGCTGAAGCTGAGGAATAGAAAGTAACTATTGTTACTATGAGTATGCTAGTGCTTAAGTAAAGCTCAGAGAGTTAGTAAGGATATATCCCCTGCCGTACAAGACAAACAAGAAAAACTGGTCCTATCATATGAAGTCTGGGCAAATGCTGATATAGATCCAGTGATTTTAAGGCCCAGCATTACAAGCTTAATATAATTTTCAGACTCTGTATACAAACAACTTTAAGGGATACAAAATAGTACTAGTTTACATGAGCTTGGTTGGTTCCTCAATTTGCTCGCTTCCATGATTTATAGGTTAGATTCAGTAGTCAAAACATTGTTAGATTTAGTTGGAATTAGGGACCCCGCATAGTTTATTTGGGTACTTAGGTAAAGACTATCAATATGACCAAAAAGAATAAACTTAGGATGCAAAATCTGTGTTCACAAATGGGTTGAGGCAATAGGACAAAACAAACTGAATAAAGGACTATATAACCGACTAAGGGTTGCAAGTTAACCACAAAATGTAAAGGACCACAGCTAGTACATTTCACAGTCAGTGGGGAACTGATTTTGATCCGAGCTACAACTATATAACTAAATGTGCAAGCTGTTTTCACATGTTGTTGCCTCTAGCTCTCATGGATTGCAATGTCCACATGTTGTAGGTTTAACTTACATATAAATAAATGTCCCACGAACTTGTTTTTATGGATTTCAGCATTGTCAGCTTGTACACTGGGTTTCCCTTTGTGCCTTATTTGTTCATCCAAAAACATCTTTTCATCTCTCTCGGTTGGATATCCTTCATCTGTTGAACCTTCCAACGCGTTCTGTTTAACTTTGTAGATGATAACCGGAGACCATATTGTTTGCAGATAAAAGCCACAATGCAGAATATAGTTGGAGAACAACATAGTGATTCATCGTCCGATGATGAAGAACTTGAGTTCTTAGCTTTGTTTGGTGTGAATGCACCTTTGAATGCACGCTACAATGTAGCTAGTGTGGGTGGCGAAAAGCGTCATTTTTATGACGGGGCAAAAAGTGGACAGGACTGGATCGATGAGCTTAAAGCAGGACATCATGACAGAATGCTAAATGCCATGAGGATGGATGTTCATTCTTTCTTAAAGCTATGTGAAATTTTAGTCAACGAAAATTTCATTAAACAAGATTATCGCAAAAGGGTTCAGGCTGAAGAGGCTATAGGCATGGCTCTACATTGTGTAAGCCATGATGAACGGCATCGAAATCTTGCCGAGAGGTTTCTCCACTCCACTGAAACGATCCACAGGAATATTAAGGAGGCATTGCAAGTTATTGTGCGTTTAGCCCCGATTCTACTACGGCCGAGGAATGAAACTGGTGTGCATCCCAAGATATACAACAGCAATGCCTTTTATCCATGGTTTAAGGTTAACAGCTTCTATTGTCCTTCCAATACCTTTTGTCCGTAGTCTTGCAAGCAATTGAACAGGATACTAGATTGTTTGTCTGTTGTTCCCCGCTTCTAATACTAATATACACTCTTTCACTTGTTTTCACATGGTAGGACTGTGTTGGCGCTATAGACGGAACTCTGATTCCCGCCAGTGCGCCACTAACTCGGCAACGTGCCTTTCGTAGTAGAAAAGGCGAAATTTCACAGAACGTGTTAGCTGCTTGTGACCACAACATGCGATCCACTTATATTTATGCTGGTGTTGAAGGGAGTGCTCATGATGCTAGAGTTTTTCAGCATGCTGTGTTGTCCCCTGATTCTTCATTTCCAATGCCGCCTGCAGGTTAAGTTATCCTTCCTAATGTTTGTCCTTTCTCAATACGAAACTGGTTTAAGTTCAACTGATTGTGTAAGCTCTCCGGGCCTAAGCAACATGGTTTCCCTTCATCTATGTCCTCAATTAGGTAAATACTATCTTGTTGACTCGGCTTACAAGAATATGCCTGATTTTTTTGGCCCCGCATAAAGGCCACAGATACCAACGAGACCAGTTTGGCGGGGGATCTGGTGGACCAAGAGGCAAGTATGAGCTTTTCAATCACCGTCACTCGCAACTCCGCAATGTCATTGAGCGGATCTTCGGCGTGCTAAAGGCTAGATTCCCAATCTTGAAAGGGCCAATGCCAAACTACTTGATGAATAGACAAGTAGAATTGGTAATTGCCTGTTGTGTATTACATAACTTTATCAGGGATGAGCATCCGCATGATGAGTTGTTTGCAAGGGAGTCCGGGGAAGATGAAGAAGATTATGCCGATCCGGGTGCACAACCCCAACAAATTGACTTATCTGCTGCGGCACAGCGCAATTGGAATAGTTTCCGGATGGCCATAACCGATCACATGTTCGACCACCGGAATGGGAGATATGTTCCACGCTAGTATGCTTGTGGTGTGCCAGTTTGATGCTCAAACTTAGCTTCAAGTGTTTCTGTACTATATGAAATATTTGTACGTAATGGCTAAAACTGTAACTTTCAACTGATGTGCCTTTTGCATTCCAATTTGACTTTATTTTGGATATTCTGGACTGATCGCTATGTCGTCGGGGTGTTAAGATATGTATTTTTCTCTGTTTACACAAGCCAAGTGGGGCGAAATGGACACGAAAATTAGTCACAAGCTATAATCTTTGTTTTTAGATTATTCTTTTGTAGCTAATGTGCTAGGCATATGTTACAAGTCTAACACAGTTGACAAGTCAATATATTGATTTGCTATATGACATTAGCGAGTAAAGGAATGTTGGTTATGAGCTACTGCATATCCTTGCTTTCATTTGTAGCCTTATAAATAGAGTTGCAATTTTACTCCGTACTATGGCCAGGTGTAGAATGTCATGATGCAATGGCTGAACCTAAGGTATGAATAGCATACATTGTTATTTCAATGTAGGTGTAGACACCAAATTTTTGGTTTCGAATTTTATTAGTTTAATTTTAGATTTTTTTGTTTCAATTTTAGGTTTATTTTGGTTGTTTCCTGTTTCATGTCTCTTATTGTATTTTAATTAGTATACGAGCATTTATTTTATCTACTAATTTGATTAAAAAAAGAGAGAGAAAAAGAAAAGAAAAAAATGAAAATGAAAAATGAAGGAAAAAAGATTGAAAAATGGCAACTTTGTTGTTTTTAGTTTGTATATTTTGATGTGATGTTACTTAAATTGTTGTTTTTTATTACTTAGTTTTATTATTAATTTTGTTAAATTATTATTCCAAAAAAAAAAAGGAAAAAATGAGAAAACCCGCATGCGGGTTTTAGGCAGTTTTGAGAGATCCTGAAAGAAAAAAAAAAAAAAAAGCCGCATGCAGCGGCATAATAAAACAGGAAAAATGTGGTTGGCATCGGAGGGCTCTAAGATGCCCAGTAAAACTACCCTATTCGCTTGGCGTGCCATTGTTTTATGTTCTGGTTTTCATAAAAGGCTCATGCAGGAGAACTTGGATGCTGATTTTAATTTACTGCCCTCGTAGCCTTCACCTTTGCATATTATAGATCCGGATCATAGTCCCAATTCTCCTGACCGTTACAGCTTTTTATGTCTATTTTAAATCGCTTGCCGAGACTATGTTTCAGATAAGGCAGTTGATTGCCTAACCAACAATTATTAGGTTGGCGCCATATTTTCCAGTGAAATTTGCAGCAATCCAAACAACATACTTGAACAAGTGCAATCCAAACAAGTTTCCATGTTTTTCGTCAGAAAACAACAGTGATTTTCCATCGGAAAATCGCAATCCAAACGCCACCTAAGTGTGCCCTTAACACTGATAAGTAATAACAACAAAGTTAGCATCATTCAACTTTCTAATTAGGGGTGTGCAATCGGTGCAAATTCAGTAATTCGGTTATTTGAATTCGATTTTTTCGGTTATTTCATTTGTAAAACTCTAAACCGCTTTCAATTTCGAATTGAGAATAACCGAATTCATTTAGTTACCGAATTGAATTCGGAAACGGTTATAAAATCGGTTATAACCGAATTGGATAGTAATTTTCACATAATTAAATGGGACTCACTTGTGTAGTTGTATATACATTTAGTCACTTATAATTTACTAATGATGTATTGCATTACACTTACATTTATTTTTTTAATATAGTTTAAATGTTTAATTTGCAAATAACTTGATTGTTTTCGACGGTGAATGCTAATACACTAATATGTTGATATGCAATTCATATATATTCGCTTAAACCGCTTAATCATACTGTTTAGTTGTTTTCGTTTAAACAATATTAGTGATTAAAGAATATAAATTCACATATTGTATATGTAATGTAAATTTAAAGTATACTAATACTTGCAAGTTAAACATTACACATTCAAGTATTTAATAATCCAAACACGAATGATGAACCAAGTGTAAATTCTAATTACTAGTTATGTTTAATATTTAGTACTATACTTATATTTATTATCTAATTCTAGTTATGTATAAAGAGGTAAGTATTATAGTTATGTATTATTGTATTATTATAATCATATAGCAAATACTAAAATAGTATATTTTACATCATTATATATTTTTATTATTACAGGTACATGATAATACTATATATTATCTATTATTAATAGCCTTACCTATATAATGTATGAATAGTAAATAGCATTTATCTATATAATATATAAATTTATAAACTAATTTGGTATTCGATGTGGTAATACGGTACTCTGTTTTGTTTTATCGAATTTGAATTTGAAATCGGTTACTACCAAATTGATAATTTCATTACCTATTTCATACCACATTAGAATTCGGTGAATTTGGTAAATACCGTTTTTGTACCAAATTACCAAATACCCGATTTTAAATTACCAAATTGAATTTAAAATTAGGTATGAATTCGGTTTTTACCAAATTTGCTCACCCCTATTTCTAATATTTGACTGCGACAATGACATGAGTGCATGACTTGTGGAGGCAAACCGAGAATTAAATATTTAAATTCCAATTCCATGGCATTGTTACTTTTAAATCTGAATTGTTGTACTTATAATTAGCTTAGGAGATGAGATTCAAGCAAAAAAGAAAAGAAGGGAAGAGAGACCTAAGTGTTTCCAACGTTTGGAAGTTTCACAAAAAATCTTATGTCAAAAATGGACAAAAAATGAAGGAAAGTTGCAAAAAGCACACACAAAAATTTTAAATTACTCATTTTATTCTTAAAAAGTTATTGAATGAAATTTTATTGACCTATGTGTTCCAAAATCATGACCTTTCTTTCATAAACTCCCAAACAATTTAGTGTGTTTGGATTGTAAGTTATTTGAGATATTTTTACTGTAGCACTTTTTGTGATGTGATGTATGTGAGATAAAAAGGTAATTGAGAAGATAAAAAGGTGTATTGGAAATTGTAATGGTGATGTAAGCAAATATATTTGGACAAATAACTTACAATCCAAACACAATATTAAAATATTTTTCTTCTTTTCTTATCGTTTCTTTTATCTCATAACTTAACCTTTCTATTATTTTCTTTGGTATCCTCAACTTTTTCCCTTTTTTGTTGTGTGCCAAGTAATAATGGAGTATTTTTTAGTTTTTTAGCAAATTAGACAATGGTAGGGACTAGGGAGCGCTGCTGCTATTTTTTACCGTAAGGTGGACGCTTGAATTAATAATAGAATAAGGGGCTAATTATAGTTTGCTCACTTGAATTTGATTCTTTTTATCACACTGCCCCTTTTAACTTTAAATATATACACTTTACCCTTTTCATTGATTACGTCAAATGTAATGATAAATTCTCCATCCAAAAATTTATTAAAATAACGTTAATGTCCTTACATAATAGTTATAGAATAATGTTATACTTTTAATTGAAATATGAAACATTTTATTACAAAAAACACAAAGTCATATGATTTTTAAAAAATAAAAAAAGATGGTATAATACCAAAGAATTGAAAATTTTTATTGCGGAGAAAAAAGAATTTAAAAATTCAAAAAGCATCTACACAAGTTTTCTATTGCTTATCTTTCTTTATTTAATTTGTAAATAGATTAGTTTAGTAATTTGTAGCTTTCACAAGATTTTCATGCATTAATAATATGTTATTTGGTAATTTTATACCACATTCATACCTTGCTTTGTATTTTGTTTGCATTCTACAAAAAAAAAATTAAAATTCTCTAAATATATATTTCAATACATTTCTACTTTTAATCATGTTTTTATCAAATATAAAACACATTAAAAAGTGTCATAATAAAAAATATAAGCAAATAATTTTCATTCTAAATTCACTATTTAATATTATTTTATTTATAATAAGAATTGCTATGGAATTGAGATAATCACATGAGTTACTCAGAATTCTTTTTTGTGAATTATCTAATTAATTTTAGTGCTAAAACATCAAAATGCTTAGTGTAATTGTGTTTAAATACATTTGTTAACTATTAAAGAAATATATATTTATTATGTTATAATTATTATATGTGTTTAAGAATTAGTTAGGGATATTTTGGTTATAAAAAATTTAACTTCATCTTAATCCTATCAAAAAGTTGATCACAAGGGGTAAAGTGCATATATTTGTAGTTCAGGGGCAAAGTGTTATAAGGGTCCAAGTTCAGGGGAAAAAGTGTAATTAACCCAAGAATAAGAACATGATTCCCCGTCCAAAATCCCAGCACTCTGAACGCCCCTGTACCGCCCTTGTCTCTTCCAAGCGGTCATGATCTTTTTAGGGAGGCTTCAGCGATCAAGATAGCTAGCCGAGCCGAGATCCAAGAATGTGGAAGTCTATTTTAGGAGGAGACGAAGAGCAGCAGCAGCTGGAAGACAACTTGTTGGATGAACCTGAAGGCCTATTTTCACTTTCCCCCACGCAGGTCCGATCACCTGCCTTGTTATTTATCTCCAAATTTAGCACTGCTTATTCTTACCGGAAATCCGTGTTGATTTTCTTTTTCTTGTCGGGTTTTGGACGAACAGAGGGTCTACGCATTTGCTGCCTGTTTACTAGCTGGCTTGGTTTGTATGTTCCTGGTATATACCGTACCTTCAACTTTAATTGCCATGATAAATGTTTTCAAGCCCCGGAGCCGGGTGCCATGATAAGCTACGCAGTTTTCTTTAGTCGTCTGACAGAGTGCACCGAATAGAGTTAATTGCCATTTTAGTCCCGAAATTCTCTCTTAAAGTTAGAAAATGGTGCAAAACTAGTAGCACTTGAACTCATCGTTTAGCTAGATAGTATTGGACTTAAATTTGTGCAATGCCATCTTTTATTTGTTCATTTGTGCATTTGAAGAGCCTGAATTCCCTGGCGATAAAAGGATGCTCACGATTGGCTAAAGGACTATCATAGTTTCCAGTCATAGTAATGGTCCCATTCTTAGACTTTGCCAAGTACGTTGACATTTTCATTCATACTTGGGAAGAGGCTCTAATTCGATGCATAGGATAATCCGATGATTTAATTACTCTATTCCTACATTACATTTTGTTAACATTTTGTAAACCTACAAGTATGACATGTGTACTAAAATCACATTCGGAAAGCATATCTGCATATATAAAAATGTGTGGGAGAAGAGGAGTTTAATAATCACAAATACATAAAGTACACCGACTCTCATATTGAGAGCAGCATAACTCTCGGCAGAATTGCCCTTACAAAATTTTCCTCTCGCTGTTCTCGACTAAAAATCATAACTAGATACCCTAATAACAAGACTTGGTAATTAGGGAACTAACAAGAGAAGAAACTACTGAATAATCATTCTATACCTTAACCAAATAAACTACTAGAGTTTCAATAGACTTGAACTTCTAATTTAGAAATAAGAAACATCAACTATTAGGAAGTTTGGTTTAATTATACCAACAATATGAAATTTTCACTGATTTCTATTGTCTCATTCTTCTTTGCAGTCTATGATTGTTTTTGTCAAGCCCATCAAATTCGCTTTGCTATTTACATTTGGCAACATGTTAGCTGTTGGAAGGTAGGTTACTGCTTTCCTTGAATAAACCAGTAGGTATTAATTTGTCTAACAATTTGTACTCAGATAAGAAGTTGTCGCGATGCAATGCACTTTTACCAAAAAATGCGCCAGGATTGTTCACATACGTAATACATATACATGTAAAACGAACTCTATATGTTTCTTCTTGTTGTTCTTTGCGGAGATTCTTAATTGGGACGTACATTGGCAGCACAGCCTTCCTCATTGGACCTGGGCAGCAAATAAGGATGATGCTTGATCCTGTACGCATTTATGCTACAGCCATTTATGTTGGGTGTGTTGTTGTAGCTCTAATCTGTGCTCTTCTGGTAAGCTGGATGCTTTGACTGACGCATATCACAACGTTGATGATTTTCTGAGAGAAAAGCTGCATAAAATCATCAAGTGTTCACTCATAGTTTTGCAAAATTCTTATTGTTGGTTTGGAATCATTGTTAACGCAGCAATGCAATCACTGTACTACATTTTCATTTCATACAAAAAGTTAAAAAACTACATGTTATGGTCTTTCGCTATTTTATTATCTTTAATTGCCACAAAGAGTATGGGATTTTAGTTATTTATCTTTCTCATTGAGCTTAAGAGCTGTTGTCCTTTCAGCATTATATTTGGACATTAACTTGAGTTGGTAACTGGGATTTTTGCTTACTTTTACTAAGATGGTCTAACTTACTACACAACAGGAAGAAGAAATAGGCGGATGCAATCTGCTTCACTTTTCCTTCTTTTCTTCTTCATAATAGCATTTTTTTTTTTATCTTGGTGATACCTTGCAGATCCACAGTAAGATTTTAACGATAATAGCAATCATATGTGAGATTTGTGCCCTTGTCTGGTGAGTTTGTTTCACATCATTCTTCTTACAATAGTTTTGTATCTGTTCTGTTTTCCATCAGAATATCCTAGTGCATTTTTGCTATGAAGAGAAGTAGAATGGCTCTGAAAAATAAAGCTTTCTCATGAGTAAAAACTTGAAAGTAAGAGAATTCTGCAGGCCTATAAAATTTGCAGTTTAATATATTGCTTTCATGGGACAGGTAATAATTCACAGTGCACAGACTGTAAAATTTAAATACCTAACTGAATGATAGTCATTGTAGTTGCACATCTATATTCATTTTACTTTTCGTTTAATACTCAATTCAGCATGCTAGATTACATTTATCGCCAAAAAGTATTGGAACAAACTTTTGACATTTAAAGAAGATTCTTGACAATTATGCATTTTGTGGATCTTGAAGAAACAACAGGGCTTGAACTTGTTGCAGTTTGATGGGCCATAATCCGTTGACATTAGACGTTAAAACTACAGAAAGTCATATTAGAAATGAAAATTTTCTGGACTCTAATAGTTCACTACTATTTTTGCATGTCATCTTACTATAATTTAAGACGACTAAGTACACACTTTTGATGAGGAGAAAGATGAAAGCCTTGAAGAGCATGTGATGTATAGTGGCTAATGCTTTGTTGTGTGCAAATAACATTTTGAAAACTAAGAACTACTATGGACAGGAGGAGCTCAAAATTGATCTCTTACTTTTTTATCTGCGGGTTTTCCAGGGGGGCAGTGCGACATTTTAATTGATAACCAAGTCCTAATCCCACTTTTTTTTTGGCTGGTGAATGCAAAGAGTTGGACCTCTAGAACATAATTTTATGATAGAAACACAAAACTTGCACTTCAAGAGTGACTAAAACTCTGCTTGGAATATGATATTATTTTTCTATCAACTCTAAAGACCATCAATATCTCCAGATGGACAACTGCTCCCATGAAATGTCTTAGACTTTGTTTCTGGTTTCTGGTTGGGTTGGGGAAGATGATCATTGGTTGGGGATTTGGATTGTTGTAGGTTGGGCTTTGGAAGTGTGGGGAGATTTGAATTCACAAACTAAACATAATTTTGTGTCAAATAGGAGATACACTAGAGGTAGCCTTGAGTATGGCCCATGGTAACCCAATATTTTGAGCACTGATGCAATTGGCCCAATTTCACTTGATTAGAGAAAGCTATCTTGTCAGTGGGCTGATGTAGCAGAAAATGTTAATGGTTGTTTTGAGGGATCCTGGAGTCTAAATACTTTTCTCAGGTGTCCCATTGCGAACCATGCTATGTGCGGTGTGAATTATTTGGCTTGCTGGTACCATATATTTGCCTGTTTTAGTGACTCTAAATTATTTCAAGACGGCCTTTGAGACCACCTTTGTTTGCCATTTCAGGTATAGTTTAAGCTATATTCCTTTTGCTCGAAGGATGGTTTCCTCGGTGACGATCCGTCTATTTGACACTGAAATCTAAACAGTTCAACATACAAATGTGTGTTTGTGCAGCCATTGGCCAACGAAATTCTCTACAGAGTTGATTTACTCCAATTCTTTCTAATGAGAGTCGATTCTTTTTTTGGATTGCTGTGAAAAAGTGTTACCAACTTGGCTTTGATTTTTGGGCTGTTAAACTTTATGACGACTGAAATGCTACAATCTACATGCGATTCAGTCTCATCAAAGGGCAGTTACTCTATATATATATTTTTTGTCTACACAGAGGTATCTGGGTCCATGGATTAGTTACCGTATGACCCAACTAATCCTCTGCAGGTCGGGAGAGGCTGCCCAACATCACCAACCGTAGCACTCAGGATTCGAACCTTTGCGGTGGTACTCACCTAACTAGGCTACTACCACCAGCTCTAGCCCTGGGGGGGCATCAAAGGGCAGTTATTATTGATTCAACTGTCCTTTTGTGTTGCTGTTCACTCTGGTTTTAATTTCGCTGAAATGTCCTTTTGTGTTGCTGTTCACTCTGGTTTTAATTTCGCTGAAATACCATTTAAGTAGTTGTCTTCCTATATCAAATAATTATATCATTGTCTTTCAAAATGCCTTTCATGACTGGTGCAGATGCTGCATAATTTCGTGTTGGACTACTTTTTCTTCCCTGGCTACCTACCTACCATTTAAGCCTTTTTCCCAACAACCAAAATGGTGGGAGTGGCTAGTAAGCTTTGCCATTATTCTACCTAATCAGTCAGCATCCTCACCTCAAATGCCCGTCGATGTCCTAATAAAACGAGGTATCTTGACATGCTCTGAGATTCGGGTCTTCTGTTTTGCCTTGTTTTCCTGCTTTTTGGCAAAGTGCTGCTATTTTTACTTGATTACAGATTTAAAAAAAAAAAAAAAAAAAAAGTAGCAAGTTAACTTATCATAGAACAATTCGTTGACTGTGTTGTTGTCAAGTTCGAGTTCAGACGTATCTTTTGTAGCTTCTACCATATTCAAGCAGAGGCCGAAACTGAATTACTTCTTAATCCAATTGGATCCTCCAGGCTAAAGTAGGAGTAGGAGTAGTATAAGAGTTGACAATTGACCAATATATATACAGAGAGACAGAGACAGAGACTTGTTCGGTCCTTAAACTTCACTAAATTTTGATGGGTCATCTCATCGACCACGGTCATGTGCTACATGACTTTTTAGCAGCTTAACGAAAAGATATGGGCCTCTAGCTGTGGACCCCAAGACAAAATAGGTAAAAGGGTTGGTGTGGGCTTGTGGCTTCACCAACTCCCGAAGGGACGAAGGAACCAATTTCAATACGAATGAAAAGGAGAAAAGCCTTTGTATATGTGCATTTATACAAGTTTGTTTTTGGTGGGGTTTTCTCTATGCCCCATGGGGCAGTACTTAATACTAAAGGTTGTTTGTCAGTATTAGTATTAAATTTAGATAAGCGTGTATCCATTGAAGACATTAATGAAGCTCAGCCACTCTTGCACGCACTTATTGTGTCATCATTTGCTAGCAAGTAGGTGAAGAGCCTGGGTTGACTTAAATGGCTGAAGTCATTATTCTCTCTCCAAAACTTGGTAGACCCGATCTTAAAAAATCCTATAGTGTTTGAATCCTTCAATTTTCAAAAAATAATTTTTTAAATATTATAAAAAAATTTTTAAAAAAATACTCTAACTGGTATTTTAAAAAGTAATCTAAATTTTTTAAATATTTTAAAAATTCTACTATTCTTAAATATTTCAAAATATTCTCTAAAAAAAATTTTAAAATATACTCTAAAAATTCTGTTGCAATAAAATTTTTCAAAAATACTTTCAAAAACAGCTAATCTAAACGGAGTCATTATGATCCGAATTCTGCCACCTTATTCAAAAGATTCAATAATCATTGAATCTTTGAAAATTCATCGAATCCCTAATCTCTTTGGCAATATTTCAAGGTTGAACTCCCTTTGATACCCATGCAAACATCGTGACTTCTTTCGCAACGACGGATTTGGGACACAAATGGTTGTCAAGTCAACCATTGTGGCCAAACTTAGTTGGGTGGGTTGGTTGGTGTTTACGTGTGAATCAATAAATATTTTAGTAATTGAAAGCATTACAAACAATAGTAGTGTTTAGGGTAAAGGAGATTGGATGACATTGGTACCAATCAATCAGATTAGAGGAAGTGTTAATAAAAGCAAATAAGAAACTACGCAGTACTACTTGCAAAGTGCAAACATATACGAGTAGCAACTACGCAGTACTACTTGCACCGCTGTGAGAGAGAGAGGGGGGGATTTGGGAATCAAGGGTTAAATTCCGACCCTTTTTTCTCCGTGCAGCAGATAGTCACCCTTTGGAATCAAGGAGGAGTCGCAGAGGAGAGACTCAAGGACCCCTCCAATCATGCAACAGCCGCTCATCTGACCTCAATTCTTGCTACTCAATGATTCACTGCATCGGACCTCCAATTTAATACCCTCTCATTTTGTCGATCTTCGTCCTCCAATTAAATCTTATATTGCACCGTGAAGCGTAAACGGCAGGTTGAACGCCTAAACAGCCGCCGCCCGTGGATTCCAGGCTCCACACGCAGCATGACGTTAAATTACTCAACTTGCATCGTTGTTGCATGTGTGGCGTCTATAATTTCAATTACATCACGGCCTTGTTCTGATCTGACCCATTTTTATGATGATCAATGATTTTTTTTTTCTTTATTTTGCTTTTTGGTTTTGATTTTCTCGCCGGATGAGTTCTTGAAATTTGTTCCAAAGTTTGAACGGATTATATTTTCTGATCGGGCATGTCGTTGAGTCGTTCGTTCTGTCAACTAAACAATAGAGTGCAAAATAACTAAAGCTGATTTCCTCGCGGCAACCTGAACGGGTGACGTCTCCTGGTGATTTATAAGGTTCCTCCGTTAATCACTTTTTCCCCCCTTTAATTTAACAAAGAAACAAACTGTTGCCTTCAATTAGGATGCACAACCAAAAGAATTTGGCAACGTTTCCTTTTATTTTAGACGAGTCCCCTTGGCATCCATCCCGCCACCACCGTGCAAGTTGCAACAAGCCAAAGAAAATTGCTCCATTTTCCCAAACATCCTTCTCAAAACTAATATTCTATTTTAAAGACGCCCTAGTTAACAATGAGAATGATCTTTTAAATCCCTCATTCATTTGTGCATTACAAACTCGCGCACAAACCAACCACATTGGGGCTGTTGGCTAGGGATATGGTATTCTGTCTGACAGACTAGGGTTCGAACTTTATTGTTAGGTTTGGGAGTAGGGAGAGATTAGGGGAGGGAGGGAAGGATTAAAAAAACGAAAAAGTTCAATAAATCTTAGTGTCACGTTTTTTTCATAAAAGCGATGGTCTTTATTAACAATTTTTCACAATTTATAAAAACTTGTTATGAAGATATCTGCATTTGGACTGAAGGATTTAACAAGATTTGAAATCCGTTAAATTTTCTTAAGTTGTTTGAATAACTTGTAATATACCAATTATTTTAGTGTTTAAATACATCTAAATAATTGATGGATTGCAAACCCAATTACCTTCTAAATAATTCAAACAATCTAGAGTATTTGGGAAGATTTCAAATTTTTTGTCAAATTCCTCAGTCTAAACATGATGTCTAAACAAAAAAAATTAAATACTCTGACGTTAGGTATGACTAGAGGTCCAAGATTCAAATCTCCTTTTCCTACTTCTTGTTTCTTAAATCTCTCTCTTTTCTTATTAGAAAAAAAATAAATATTAGGAAAAAAGTATGACATGAAATACCTAAATCCCCCTTCTTTTTTTGCCATCGTGCACCTTTTTTTTTAAAAGGTTTGGTAAAGGGTTAGACAACCCCATTACATAGTTAACTAGTCTGGGTCTGGCAACACTTGGACTTTGCACTTAGCCGGGCACAGCAGAACGCTACCCGTCAAACGGAACAATTTCTCGAGGCGCTTCTGTTCTTGAAGTGCCCCTTCCCCTTGCATCAAAACAACGTTTTGTTTAGTACATCCATGGTCCAACCACGCTTTCTCCGCTCTCAAGAGACTCCGTCACAGATTCTTGTCGAGGGCAAAATGCTTCCAATCAACCCGATTTTGTGAGTCCCTCCTATTTCCGGCTTCGTCATCTAGCTTCGTAACAAACAATACGACAGTATAAATTCCGCGATGGCTAGTAACGTACTACTTGCCGGTTGCCATATTCAATTCGATTTTTTTTTTCAAGCCATTAAATCATTAATCATATACCGCAGTACTCTATATTCTACTCAATAATGACTTCCTTAACGTTTTGCAGCTGTCATACTCAACTCTAATAAACAAACAAAAGCGCCCAACCGATTCTACCATCCAACCATTGAATACTTTTTATTTTTCACTTTTTTGCTAGGCTAGTAGTAGTAATTTTTTTTTGTCTTACTGTCCGTCCTTCAGGCTTCAACATCAATTGACAAATTAAACTAATTTCACGATCGATTACTTTACATAATTTCACAATATTAATTCTGTGACGCTCGGTCATTATTCAAGTAAACTCCATATATAATATAATAATTGCGTCCCCTGTTATCATATTTTACAAAGTACTAATTAATAGCAAATTATAACCTACTAATAACATGTTACGTCCCATGGAAACCACTAACTAATTGTGCTTACAATTATTCATGTCCCTTCCCGCCGGCCAAAGAAGCTTTAGATAATTACCGCTACTGCTTTTCTTTTTAATTTATTTGACAATTAAAGAATGAAGAGAGCTTACTTTAGTTTCTCTTTCCTTGTCGATTGTGTGATGCAGCACTTGACTTTATTTAGCGAATCAACAATGCCACGGAACGGATTCCCTTGTAGGAGCCATTACCAAAGCTTGGGTTCGGGATGATGTTCGTGTCAGGTTCGGATATTCACGAGTTTTAATACTTCTTCCCTTCTTTTATAACTGACGTTTAAGGTTTTGCACATCAATTAAGAAAAAATTTTCATTGTTTAAATCTATAAACTACTTTCCTTTTGTACCCTCATTAATTGTCCAATTCACTCATATTTTCTCTCACTAGAGTATTAAATGGTGCTGTTTTACTAGGCCAAAAGTAAAGAGAGAAGTAATAATTACTAGGAGTAGTAATTAAGAGCCATGTATTGGTAAAGAGAGATAAAAGGGTAAAATTGTGAAAAAATAATTAATGTTGCATGGGATAATACAACGACAGATAAAAGTACTTAAGAGCAAATTTCTTAAACGTCAGTTATAAAAAAAGGGAGGGAGTATTTTACTTGGGGAGAGAAGATAAATGCGTAAATATATATTTGGACATCTCAATAATATTATCCTCCCTTCATCTCACTTTGATTTTCCTTTTTTATCTGTCCAAAATTGTAGTTCACTTTCCAATTGAAAAATACAGTTATATTTTAATATTTCTAAAATACCCTTATTAAATATAAGTTATTGTTACTATAAATCTACTCCATTTAATGGGAGTTGATTCTTTTTTTTATCATCAATTCAAGTTCCCATAAAGTTGTAATGTGAGAGTATTTTAGAAAAATAACTAACTAAATTGATTGTTTCAATAAAGTTAATT